GAATTTTATTTGTATAATAAATGGCAGATTGACCCACATTGACCGTTGTGGCCTCATTAATTGAAGCCCCTGTGTGTTGACCAATCCACAAGGTTACATTACTTTCAGAACAAAACTCTGACCACCTTATGGCCCCCCTCTGACCACAGGAGCGTCATATCTACTACCCTCTCTGGGAGGGGAGTTCTTTGTGACTGGTCAGTTTTTTTTTACCATTGAAAGCCTCTTCACCTGAAAAACCATGGATTTTCTACCCGGCCACAGAATCTCCCAGTTTGCTCCATGTTATCAACTTCAACTGCCACACCCTGAAGCCCACTCTCTGAAGCTGAAGGCCTTGTCTCTCCCAACACTAGACGTTGTTGTACCCGCCAAGGAAACTGCAAGTATCAAACTTCTATCTCGAAACGGGCGTATCATAATTACAATTGGCCTTTAAACAAACATTCCAAATTTACCAGATTATCTGCTGCTTCGGCTGAAAAGACCTTTTCAGTCTCCAAGCCACAATTCTGCTCCACATTCGGTTTCTCACTCTCAGATTCTCATTCAGCATTTTCATCATTGTTTGTATTTTATATTTTACGTTTGTTGTTGTTATTTGTTTGTTGTAGTTAGAAATAAATGTTTTGTGCGTATACAGTTGTTTCTTGTGTTTTCTATAGCTTACTTTCAGTCACTTTACATATCCAATCTTTATAGTTACCTAAGCTCAAAGTGTATTCCCTAACATTATAAAACACTCTTGACTGATCACCAAGAGTAAACAGTGTATTAGAATTATTGTGCTGACTCTGAGATTATATCGCTGAATGAATAATTTAAAGGTTGGTTTTGATCCTTTTAAATAATGCAATAATTTGCTTTATGGCGGAAATAATTATTATTAATAATAATTATTTCCTACCCTACACAGTAAAATATGGAATGAGCACTTGCAGCATTTTGATGGTCTGTTTGGCCACCTAACTGCATTGTGTCCCACTGTAAACCTTGTAAAGTGTGAGTTTGCCAGGACAATGATGTCATACCTGGGTCAGATATATACAGGTACATCTAGGGCAGATATCTCCAACTCCGGTCCTTGTGAGCTACTGTTTAGACATTTCCCTACTGCAACACACCTGACTCAACTTAATGGATCATTAACAGATTTGTCTAGAACGTGACAACAAGCTGTTGAAGAGCCATTGATTTGAGTCAAGTGTTCTGTTGGAGTTTTTGCAAATGATCTCAGTGACTACTGTGTGGTGGCTTGTGTTCGAGATACCAGGCTCCCTAAAACGTGCCCTCAAACAGTACTAAAAAGAAACTACAAATGGTTTTCTGAACAGGCGTTTCTACATGATTTGTTTCGTGGTGACTTGGATCGAATCAGTCTGATCCCTGATGTAGATACGACATGGAATTATTTTCATTCTGTCTTCCTTTTCACCACAAATAAACATGCTCCTTTTATCAAATACAGAATAAAAGGAAGAGATAACCCTTGGTTCTCTTCTGAGCTCGCTGATTTAATTCATGCTCGAAACCAAGCTTGGGCCAAAGCCAGAGGATAAAATTCTGCTTTTCATTGGTCCAGATTCCGGTGTCTCCGGAACAAATGTACTGCCTCCATCAGGAAACTCAAATCTGAATATTATCTCAAAT